CTCCCCCACGGGTCCAGGGTTGGATTTCTTCACCTGTGCCTGCAGTGCCAGCGCGTTCCGGCGAGCGTGCTCCGCGCACAGCGACGAGCTAGAGGAGAGAGGGATCAGGGACAGACCGGGAGACAGGCCAGGGAATGGATCAGGGAATGGACCAGGGGATGGACCAAGGATGGATCAGGGGATGCACCAGGGATGGATCAGGGGATAGACCATGGGATAAGCAATAGGATAATCCATGGGATGAACCATTGAATGAACCACTGGATAAACCACAGGATAGACCAGGGGATAAACCACAGGATGGATAAACCACAGGCTGTGCTTGGCCAGCAAAGAACAGGGGATGCAGTGAGAAATATCCCCTGGAACACGTCAGGGGTCTCCCTACAGCTCCAGCCTGGGAATGCTGAGAGCCCTGGGAATGCTGCCCCCGGCACATCAGCAAGGACAGGAACGAGCTTTTCAGTTCCAGACAGTGAGGCAGGTGAGCTCTGAGCTCTGCTGCTTCCAGTTGTTCCCACTAGGCTCCCATCCCCACACTGGATGGATCATTGTATAGCACAAGGTCAGGATGGAGAGAGCAGCGTCCACATCCCTGTGGATCCCTGGGAACCAAACCCAGGGCGACACTCCCAGGAGGGCTCTGAGCTCTACTGACATGGCCAGAACTGCTCCAGTTCCCTCCAGCCCAGCACTGGGAGCATCTGGAATGCCTCAGGGAATCACAGCACAACCAGGTCACAGCTCCACACAGCACAGCGACCATTATCCTCAGCACAGGCTGCGGAAGCTCCGTGCTGGGCTGAGAGCAGGGACAGACCTGGAGCACTGCAGCCACCTCCTGCCAGCCCAGGGCACAGCCACAGGCACTCAGTGACTCCAGGGAGCCTTTGTCCAGCTCAGCAACACTTTGAGAAATGGGACACACTTCCCTGGGGTTTCAGTGGGAGATTCATGGAATTTCATGAGCTGGAAGGGACCCACAAGGATCAAAGTCCAAACATTCCTAGAGCTCTGTCAGGCTTGGGGTTGTGACCACTGCCCTGGGGAGCTGTTCCAGTGCCCAAACACCTCTGTGGGAAGAACCTTCCCCTGATATCCAACCTAACCCTGTTGCACTGCCCAAACACCTCTGGGGGAAGAACCTTCCCCTGATACCCAGCCTAATCCTGTTCCAGGGCTCCAACACCCTCTGCGGCAAGAACCTTCTCCTGATCCCCAACCAAACCCTGTCTCACTGCCCAAACACCTTCTCCTGATACCCAACCCAAACCACTGGCACAGCTCCAGCCGTTCCCTGGGCAGGGAACACAAGAACCATACCCTCCTCCCACTGTTGCCTCCACACAACGGTTGTCAACGAGGCACCGACACTCACCCATCCTTCTTCTCAGGCTTGGGGGCAGCGTTGGGACATCTCCTGCCGTTCCTGGCGGAGACGTAGCTGCACTGCTTGAAGGGAGCATTCCTGTCCTCCAGGATGTGGCGCAGGCAGAACTCCTGCCCGTCCAGGCGGGGCTGGGAGCAGGGCCTGGGCGCG